ATATTTATTCACCCAAACCATATTTGGTATCAATGTTATACCTAACAAGGGGTGTCAAATTTGACTTCATTGAGGGCCACATCAGAGTTGTGTTTGGCCTTGGGCAGCTGGGATGGGTGTGGCCAGCTTGAAATCACTCATGTTGGGGGCACCTGTGATGGCCTGAGGATTCTGCCAGCGAAAATGGGCTCTCGAGCTCTATTTTGGCCGTGATAGCCTCCTGCAACCCTCTGCCAGTGAAAATGGAGCTCAGGAGGGCTGCCGTTTTCACTGGCAGAATCCAGTGAAAACGGCAGCTCTCCTGAGCTCCATTTTCACTGGCAGAGGCACCGTGGGTCAGTCCTTCATTGTTTCCAAGGCAGCCAGATCCGGCCCATGGGCCTTCAGTTTGACACCCCTGCATTAGAGCATCTCTAACCAGCCTAACCTTAGCAGCTAACTAACCAGCCTAACCTTAATGCTGCAGCAAACAACTTACCACTTTATGTGGCAGCCTACTTCAATAGTTGACTGTATATTCATATGCTTACAATGCACAGTGTGTGTAATGCTGAATGAGAGCTTACTGGGGGGTAAAGCAGCATAAGAGCTGTCTTCCATAAACCCAAATCAATAAATGTCCAAAGCATGAGTGAAACCAAATTGAGGAGAACTTGCAATGTATTATCCAGATGGATTCTTAGAAGTTTATTTCCTTGCTTACAAATATCTATAAGTAGTACCCTTTGCTCCGTGAATTAGACTAGTCACTAATGATAGTTAAGTACAGTCAAATGTATTGAATTTGGAGACCATCTTCACACAGGCATTGTTTATAATGCTCCATTAAGCATCATATGATCTGACTGTAATTTTCCTAAGTTTTTCATACTAGGGTGTTTTTTTTGCAACATTTTTTTATATTAGGAAATAGAAAGATAGTTTCTCTGATTGAGTTTTTCAATTAAATAATGAAACAAGGGAGCAATCAGCTAAAACATAGCAGAGCTTCAGGTCCTGTCTCTTTTCTGGTTTCTACCACAAAAGAAATGTACTAAATTGGTTCATAGCTTGATTTTCACTACCATTCTGATCAACTATCTCATTGCCTACAACAAAGTACCTTCTGCTAATATCATTTTAAAAATAATTTTATTAAATGTTACAATTAAAAAGATAAAGCTAATAGAAACTTAAAAAGAGTAAAGAAAAAATAGAAAGTGCACAAAAGGAAAAAAGAAAAAAAGAAAAAGGAAAGAAAAATAAGAATACAATAAAGAAAAAGTTATATATGTAAAGAAATAGTTTCCGCTTTCTCCAAACTGCTTGAATAAACTGTATGTTCGTACATTACAACTGTGAGGTTACTTGGAACCCCTCAACTCTTAGTTCTTGGTAAGTCAAATGCAAAAACTCAATTCCTGCAGTCTTTTGCAAGGAGCAAATGTCCTGAGTATGTGTTGGTAATCCCATGATCTCTCCTTTCTCCAGAGAGATTTTATCAGTCAGATTCATCCATTGAACACCAATCTCCACTGTAATGCCATCCCTACTCCTTCAGGGATGTCCAGCTCACTATGTCCTCATCTGAAATCCAATTATCATAAGCTGTACATAGGTGTGTAGCTATTATTAAATTTCTCAGGTTCAGAAAGCACCAAGGGACCCACAATTCAATCCTGAACTACAAATATTCTCTTCCATTGCAACACCTGCAGCTAGTGCAGTCTTCATATATTTTCAATGCCTTCAAATCATTATCTTCTTCTGGGCATCTACACTAGACAGACAAATATCATGCCATGTCAGTCTTCCCTGCATAGAAATGTTAATGCTGATTCTGTTTCACTGCTCTTGAATCATGCTGGAACCACCATTTTTTTTCAGCAGCCCAAAACTGCCCAATTCCATCTTCACTTGCTATCTTATTTTCTTCTGCAACACTATTGCCTTCCGACCAGC